TGATACTGCTCTATAAGGGCCAGTCTACCTGCTTTAGACTATGCTGACTACTATTTTGACAAGACCTGGATAGCAGTAGGTCCAAAGCAATCAGAAGGTTGACTTTGACAAATGGCGGTGCTGCGGCGAAGTTGAAAATAACACACATCCACTTTAATCTCTTTCTTGATTAAATCGAAACCATACCATTCTGACATCATGTGATTTGCTCATGAAGCATCACTGCAGGTTACTTTAGAGGCTACATCTATTGAAATGATATTGAATTTTTAGGGGAAGTACTTAATTCATTCAAATGAAACCTTCACAAGGTAACTGGGCCACCAGTCACTGATAATTGCAGATTCAAAGAAAATCAAAGGGAAAGAAAATTCCCTGACAAAAGATAAAAAAAAATAAAAATCCAACATGTGCTCATGAATGATATTTTAGTAGGCATTATCTTCTGCCTTCAAAGAGGGAAGGTTATACACATGAAGCATATTCCTATGCTTTTTACCTCTCCCACCACAGCAAAGCTCCAAAGGTAAACATTACACTAGGTAATAAAAATGCAGAAGATGAAATTGTCTTTTTTACATGAGACTAGGCAAATATTTATGGGGCAGTTGACAAACTCCTGCCTAGTAAAAGAGCCAGCACTGAGAGCAATTATCCTGATATTCATGACTCACTTTGAATATCACATTGAATATTACTCATAAATCTTTTACGAGCACATCCCCAGAGCTCACTTAACAGCCGGTTTTAATCATGCAGTTGACACAGAGAAAATAACAAAATGTATTTTTTCAGTGGCAAATTAATTTAGGCTTGAATCTCCTCCCGTAGCTCTATTCTTTTCCTTTCCTTTTTTTTTCTTTTTTCTTTTCTTGTACGAAGATCAGTGGAATTCATTTTTGTACTTGAGAGTAGCATTTCTCCAGTCTTGCTGAATTAAAATAAAAAGGATGAATGTTTCTTTTACAGCCAGTTCCTGACAGTGGTTTTTTAAATGATGTATCTTGTTCTCTATATGAAAGATGAATCAATTTTTGAGTTTGATACACATTGTCTATTTAGCTGAATGGAGAGGTGAATGCAGAATTTAGACAAAGGAGAAAGCATTATTCTGAGTAGTATTTAAGTTGTGGGTGGTCTTTTATATTGCATTCAATTGTCATTAACTGTTGATGATAGCTGTTTTGGAATCTGGCTCTCATTAAGTAACTTGAGATGCTGTGTAAATTATTTTTAAATTGGGATACGGGAGTAAAAGAGAAATGTTAGGAAAAAAATGAAGACGCAGCAAAAGAAGGAACTCACGTGGAGTCTGTTCATGCCCCTGTAGAAATCTCTCCAGGATAATCCGAGCCATTAATGAGGGTGCATAGTCCACCTTCAGAAAACAGAAGTAGAAAATTAAAACTGCCAAGCTGTGCCAGCAGTTGATATTCCAATATTTTGTCAACACTGAAGATTAAGTCAATTTTAATCAACTGTAACAAGCATCATTCATTAAAATCTTTCCCACCCTTGGTGGCTTCCATTGTGGTAGACTGAAAGAAGATCTGTGCTGTTGAAAAGAATGGATGGATCGTTTATAGACTACAACATTCCAACCAATAATGACAGGACATCTTAGGAATAATACCTAAAATAGGCAAATAAGCTCTTCTAATTCCAGTTTTTGTTGGTAGGCCAAATTACCTTCTACTCTAGAACCCCCTTTCTATCCAACGTTCTACACTTCCATTATTTTGAGTTCAGTTTCAAATTTGAAAAAACTCATTTAGTCACTTTTCAAAAACTTAATCAAATGTCCAAATCATTTAAAATACAGATTTTTGACTGATTCCATTTTATCTTTAGAGAGAGCTGAGATTTTTTTACATACAAAATACATTACATGATAAAAGAAAAAAAACTACTTTGCGGAGATATGAAGAAAAAATACAACAATAGTAACAACTGTGGCATTAATTAGAATACTGAGTTTGGTCTGAAATACTGCTGATCAATTCAGCAAATTCAGAGCCCAGAAAGTGAGCCTGCTTTTAAATAGAGAATCAAACAGAAAACAAAGAACACTCAGCGAAACAGTCATTTTAGTTGTTGATAATAATAATAAATCACCTACTCATTTGTAAAAGTATTTTCTCTTTCAGATTATTCATTAACCATTGATTAATTTCACCAAAATATATCTGTTTTTTTAAGAGTAATGATGCCTCCCTAATAGGGACCTTTTTAATCCTAAGTGTAAAATGGGAAATATTCCTCATATATTATCACCAGGAATTATTCTTGACAGGTATTCAAGTCCCAGGCTTATACCAAAATTTTATCTTGATTTAGTAACTAGACAAAGAGGGTAGCTTCATTTGTATGAACAGTTTTTTTTTTTTTCAAATATGTATGTACTTGGATGCCCTTAAATTCCCCGAGTAGAAAGAAATGCTTTCCACGGAGCTGCTTATTCGTAGTAACCCACATCAGGGCTGACACATGAAAAATGGAGAAATTACTGAAGGTAGTCCAGCCTGAATAAGGACTACCTTATTAGTTCAGGTACCTGCATCTCTCTAATTTTCATATTAATCATGCGTCCATCTTGCTCTGAAATAGGGCCATCATGCTTCATGTCAGAATTTAGCATGTAAGTAAAATTCATAGTGCTTCAAATCTGACTTGAAAATATTTGTGTGGAAAGAAGAGAATGATTGGTCATATCATCACTAACAGAGGCGACTTCCTAAAATGTTCATTTTCAGGCTTGATCAGGAAAAATGGTATTAAGACATTTATGAAACCAATGATGGCTACCTAGATCGCTTATCACACCCAAATCAACAATAACATGGTGCTTGTGTGTACAAGAGGAGAGCTGCTGCACAATAAAATGTATGAGTTACATATTTCTCATCAATTTTTATAGTTTCCACTGATTAAATATATATTGACTCATAAAATATTACCATCACATCAATTGCCATCAGATATAAGCGTATGTCCTTTAAGTATTAACTAGCATATAAACATGGGAGCATAGAGGTTTAGAAGCCATAATCTAGTACCCACAATTTCCAAATTACCCTAATGCATTAGTAATCTCATGGAAAGTGTTTCCTCTACACGAACTAGGCACCAAAAGAATGGGGTGTGTGTGTGTGGGGGGGAGATCTCAAAATAACTAATTTTTTAGGGAGGCTAAATATTGCTACATATTCATGGTAAATAGATTTATTGATGTAGGAAAATATATAGTGATGGGTTAGCTTTTTCCATACAATTATAAAATGGAAACTGAGATCAGTGCCATAAACTAAGCTCAACAGAACTATCCATTAAAAATTCAAATGAGCAGCTGGAGAGTTGGCTTAGTGATTAAGAACACTGGCTACTCTTCCATAAGTCCTGAGTTCGATTCCCAGAACTCAGGTGGTGGCTCACAACCATTTGTAACTTCAGTTTCAGAGGATCTGACACCCTCCTCTGGCCTCCATGGGTATTAGGCACAAACAACATACACAGATACAATCAGGCAAAATACCCACACACATAAAAATAACAATAAACCTTTCTTAAAAAATGAAATTCAAATGAATATAAAGTGCTGCTTTAGAGAACTTCCACTATCAATGTGATCATCTATGAAATCAAGCTCCACATTTGCATCACTTTTTTCCCAGGTGCACCTACAATGCTACTAGCTCCCTCCTCTTTTCCACAGAGGATAATCTCTAAAATTCTACTTAGTGCTTGGGTATCTCAAGTCACTAAGAGTATCAACTTAGAGCAAAATGTCTGCTGATCTTTAATACCCACCCTCCTCTAGAAATAAGAAAATAAGACACAAGACAACCCGTTCTATGTGTTAACCATCCGATCAGTTTGTGAAGATGCCTCCCAGACTATTAGAACCATCTAGTAACTGATGGGTAATTGTGCTTCTGCTGACTGCAGCAGTGTGCAGCAGACATGAGCTGCAAGAGAAGCCATCCTTCCTTCCTAATGCAGCATGCAGAACTTGCTGCTCCTGCAACGCTTAATGTTCATGGCACAGAGTCATCTTTAATGCAAACACACATTTTCTGCCTTGCCTCTCTGTTTCCCATTATAACACAACACAGAAACAGTGTACATTTCATGCAGTCCCTATGAGGTTTGCATAAGCCATTCCAACTCACACTCAATACTGTATTGCTCTCATTACAGTGGATAAATATTTTAGAGTTTAGGAATTAAATATTTTATTTTTTGGTAGGCTCTCTGCAACTATTGTGAACTTTCTGCAGTTTCTTCACTCACAGGAAATCTTCAGGGTTTCCTTTTGAAAATGCTAAGCTGTTAGCTGTTTCCCCACACAGGAGCAGATCAGAGTTAGCAAATAAGTTCCATAAATCACTTTATACTCGGTGTTAATAAGAATATTATGTTTCTTTATAGGAAGGCGCTTTTCCATAGGCTTGTATCCTTTATTATAATAAAAGTTTACAAACAGAAAAATGAATCACGTAAATGATACATTGTTACATATAAAATTTTTCACTTCGTTTTTATAATACTTAGCATAGGCTTTCTTGGCATGCATCTCTTTACTTGACATAGGTATTTCTCAGGCTAAATTAAGGCAACCAATCCTAAGAGCATGTTCGGAGCTGTTTGGCTGAAATTTTCCACAAAACAAGAAGCAAAGAAGCTGTTTGTACATTTGCCTTAAAAGAAGGAGACTAATTATGTCAACTGATTTATTAATTCATGAAGTTCTTTGTCCAATTATTAAAAGTACAAAGGGGCCAGGGAGCAATTTAAATGTCTAACACACCTCAGAATCTTTCCTTTTTTTTTTTTTTAAGTTAATTACAATTCTGAGTAACACTACTCTCAATAGGCCCCTCAGGTTTAGCTCAGGTTTAAATAAAATCATAACAATAACATTACCTCATTGGCTAGCTCCAGGAGCACAGGGGCTGCTCCGTTTCTCCCCACGCCGTTCAGGTACCTAGACACACAAAGGCAAGTGGTCATGCAGTGGTGAGGAAGGGCCAGCACAGACTTGTTAGTATCCCCTGGGTACGCATGTTTCTCCTGGGCAGACACCATGCTCACGTCCTGTTAAAGCATGCTACCATCACCGAAAAGCAGTGAAGGGAAAGACAGCACAACTCCCTCAAACCAACCAACTGCTGAAGGTGAGGAGGAGGCAGAACCACACCAGTCTCCATTGCTTCTCAAACTCTGAGATGCAAGGGCACAGAGGTGACGTCTAGACTCCCATCCACAGCACTCTATGCCATACACGGCCATCACATTGGAGGGAGGAGAGCTGAATTTAACAGTTTAAACCAAAGCACACGGGCATGTCGGCACCCGTGCCACTGAGACCTTACAGCTCTAACAGGCGATAGGAGCCATCATCTTATCTGCCCTAGGTTCCTGTAATAACCTCCAGCCTTCACCACCACACTGTACTTCAACAAGCCAACAAGCACAAAAGCCCAGGTTCTCCCAGACATGGAACACAGGACACTTTGTTTTAACCAGACTGACTGTGGCCTTCTCCTTTACCAGCTCCGAATACCCACATTCAATCCCAAAGCTGCACAGTAATCACTTACCATGGATGGTGAGGTTCTTTATAATATGGATTTCTTTGGCTGTTGTTCTACTAATTAACACGCTAGGCATTGGCTCTACCACGGAGCTCTGTCCCTAGCCCTCTTTTGCTGTTTTGAATTTGAAACATGGTTTTACTGAGCTGGCAGGTTGACCTTGAAATCACTATGTGGCCTGGGATTACAGGCCTGAGCCAGTAGGACTGGCCATAATCCAGTTCCGATCCACTCTACTTGGCCAGCCTCATCTCCAGTATTGTAGTCTGCTACACTTACCTTTGCCTATGTTAACTCGACACGGCTCTAATACCATAGTCTTCAGCCTACCATCCATGAGTAAGTTAACTCTCCTTCATATGCTAATGGGAAGCCAACTGTACGTCTCTCTATCAGAGAACACAGAATAAGGTATTGCCAAGCTACAGAAGGCCACCTATCTATGAGATATGTTCCAATATATTCGGTGAATGCCCGAACTGATAGAAAGCTCTGAACTCTACATATATGATGCTTTCCTATGTACACATATGCTCAACATAAAGGTTAGCTTATGATGAAGAGTAAAAGATTTATAACAGAACAGTATTCTATAATAAAATCTATAAATGTGGTTCTGTCTTTCTCTTACTGAACTTTATTCAACTTTCTTGTGATGACTGTGTGAGATAACACAAGGCCTCCATCTTAAGAGGAAGTGAGATGACTAATAGGCACTGTAACCCAGCTTTAGGCTACTACTGTTCTGACAATAGGTCAGCAGGAGGATCATGGAGCAGATGACCACAGATTACCTGGGCTGGGCCATGGAGAGCAAAACACTGGAAAGAGAGCTAATTTACTTGTCTGTCTCACACTCATCTCCCAGTGTAATGCCGACAGGCTCATAAGGGGACAAGATTTCCTTTAGTTTATTTTATTTATCACAATTCTTGGCTTATAAAGGATGATTATATAGTATATATTCATACATACTTTTTTTTTACTAATAATCAAATAACTTTTAAATTCACATTAGACAACCTAGTAAAAATCATGTAAGGATATTTTCTCTAAAATGTCTTAGTTGATTGAATAAATTAAAGTTCTTTGTTGATAGTTTAAAAAAATAAAGTCAATAAATGGGATCTGCCATGTAACTGCCAGAAGCAAATACCACATTATATAATAACATAAACAAGGCAGAGTCAACACCAATTATAGGGAGAGTGGTGGGATTATTACAACTTCAAAATAATTCAAACCAATCTACTTCCCACATACAGGGGCCCTTCTTAACGATGACTGTATTAGGTAGAAAACCAATGAGGAAATAGGGACTTCAGAAGCATGAGTGGGAGAAAAGTAAGTGTGGGTTTGAAAATAGGTCCAGAAGTGGGGTGAGGGGAGAGAGGATAAAGACAGCCCCCCCAAGACAAATAAAGAACCCAAAACATAGCAACAGTGGTTTAAAGAACAGAGCCCCTGGGAAATAGGTAGGATGAAAAACTTCAGCTTATATTTCCAGTGCACTGACAAGTCTGCTCAAGAATAAAATAATCAACCTGTGTGTGTGGCCATGCCACACCAAATAAGTGTGAGAAGCACAAACTCTCGAAGAGTTCCAACCCTGGGTTCAGTATTTAACAGCATACTATCATCATGGCAGCTTTAGTATTGACTATTTAACATTCATGTATACCTCGAATACTTTGGAGAGCTCTGGTTTAGGCCTTAATCTGGGCTCTGAAGAAACAACAGGGAAGAAAACATCCCTGTCTCTATCATTACAAAGATATGACAGTCTTCAGACAACAATAAAACAAACAAACAAAAATGGAAGACATAAATGCATGATACATGCTATGGTAACATATAAAATTAAGTGAGTTGGTCAGGAAGCCCACCTCTAAGGAAGTGGCACTTAAGTCTTGTATAAAGTAAGGAGAAAGCCAAGGTTTGTGTTTCGGGGGCAAATTACTTATACTAGAGAACTGTTGTTTTGAGTCAAAATTGCATGATTTCCTTTAAGAGATGCATCCATCACTATATTGATAATACACAATGGAAGCTACTAACATGTTGAAACAAGCAGGAGCTGGTCAAACAGAACCCCAGTGTATAGAGTCCACATACATTCAATCAGTGCAAATTCCTGTGAGTACAAAGGCTCCTTGCTAGCTCATGTGAGGAAACCAACCTCAAGGCACTGATGAAATCTACCCAGGCCAGCACTGTGACGCACATCTGAAGCTGCAGTGCTGGAGGGGGGTAGATCACAGAGTCGGAAGGATTACTACAACCCACTGGTCAACCAGTGGGACTGAATCACTCAGCTCCAGATCCCCTTGGAGACTCTATCTCAAATAAGAGAAAAATAAGTAAATAAATAAATAGGTGAAGGGCTATCTAGAAAAACATGATGTCAACTTCTGGCCTCCACACTCATGTACACCCACACTCACACACGCACACACACACATGAACATTTACATACATCCCACACAATAAAAAAGACCCTTAGAGAAGACCTATTTTATAATGTCTGACTAGAAGATCTACGGTCATGACATTATGTCCTTATTTTAAAAATAGAACAGCTGAGCTGGAGATAGAGCTATAGTAGAGCTCTTCCCTAGCATGCGCAAGACCCCAGGCTCAATCCTCACTCAAAAGACATAAAATCCATACCTCTGCTACTGTTTTCTGTCCTTTTGGAATGTTCTGCTTCCCAACAAACCAGTAAAGGCCGCTCTTATTTTGAAATGGGGTCTGTTGACCATTGTTCTGGACACTCCATAGGGATAATAGACAGCTTGCTGGACTCTGTAAACACCTCTGTTAACACTTCTCTTACTGAAATTCCTATATTTAGGGACACAGCTATCTTCTGTTACACAGGATAGCTGAAGGTGGGCGGGTATTGTCTTTTTCACATGGGCCCGAGCAGCTATCAGCAGGACAGTAATGTGCAATAAATGGTGCTACTGGACATTTCAGCTTTTTCTTGCTATGACAATAAAACCAACCTAAGGAAGGAAAGACATTTTGGCTCACGGCTTGGGGCATGGTCTGGTTCTATCACTCAGGTCAGAGGTGAGGGATAAATCATGGCAGAGAGGCACTGTGGGCAAAAGAAGCTACTCACCTCATGTCAGCCAGGAAGCAGACAGGAAGGGGCCAGGGCAAGATGTAGGCTTCAAAGACACACTCCCAGTAACCTACTGAATGGTGTGACCTGCACACAAAGCAGCTCTGGTCTCTTCAGTTATTCCTATCCAGAAACGCCCTTGTTTATTTAAAATGAGAAGTGTGTTTACTCTCTTCCCAGGCATTTGTCAATCCAGTCACATGACTCTCAAGATTAGCATCACAGTGGAATCAATGTTCAGAATCCAGCTTTATCTTGCACTGTCAATATCAGGTCTCAACAATTCTTTTCTCCACGTCAACACCTTAGAAAATTCAATTGATCTGATTCTGTATAGCTACTAAAGCTATTTCCTGAGCCAGTGTGGTTAGAAGGGATGGGAGATAGGATTGCCAAACTTGCTACTGATAGAAACTTACAGATCTGACCATCTGTGATGATCAATATTCACTGTCAGCTTGATTGGCTTTGGAATCACCCAGAGTTGAGTGTTTGAGGGTGCTGAAGGTGCTGAGGGTGGGGAACAGAGGAGGGAAGGCCCAAATGGAATAGGGATGAAAGGAGGAAGCTAGCTGAGTATCAGCATTCCATGTTCTCTATGAGGTGTCTGCCACCATGAACTCTGCCATGCAGAATACATTCACAAACCACAGGTCAGTACAAAGCCTTCCTTCCTTAGGTTACACTTGTCAGGATCTTGGACCCAGTGATTAGAAAAGGAACTAGTAGCCCAACCATGTGTGTGTGCACAAAAGCCTATGTGAACATTTGGAAGAATCAAGATAAATTTCACCAAGGATGTTCCTGTATGGGAATAAACTAGCACAGTGTAAAAGGATGGAGAGCTATTTTCAAATGAACACAGGCTGTCTGTAAATATCCAACTGAAAGAATTTCCCTACCAAGGCAAAAGCCCAGGAACACACTTTCTACCACTATCCTGATCCTATGACGTTTTAAGAGAATCATGGTGCTCTCACGATAACTTCTGACTTTGAATGCCCAACTGACATAATCTCAATGATAACTAGAATGTGGATCCTGAGGTTCTCATATTGCCGGCAGAAATATAACCAAGACGCTTCTAGACAATAATTTAGCAACATATAATCAATGTACACATTGTTTGCACCAGTAATTACACACACAGAGATCAACCAGTGCCTGTGAGTCAAGTATCAAGATGTTTACCACAGTATTGTTTCCAGTATCAGGGCAATGGTGACACATTTGGGCCTCAGAAGAATAACCTGGGAAATTCAGTCTTTTACATGGTAAAGGAAGACAACTAATAACAGAAAAAGGCTTTTTACAAATAATATTACATCACATACATTTTTCCACAATAAAATCCAGGACTTATAGTTGCACATATAATATGACCTCATCCATGTAAAAATGGGTTGTCAGAAGGCTGAGATGAAACTTTAACCAGTAGTTATCTCTGAGTGGCACAATTATGGGCAATCATTCATTCCTTTCTATGCCATAACAAATGTGCTTAATTTTCACAGCAGGTGGTATTACTTTCATAAAGGAAAAAAATTAAATAAGTTGTTATTAACATTTTCCCATTGCTTAAATGTATATGGATAAAACACAAGCTGCCTTTATTCTGGAAAAAAAAAACCTAAGAAACAAACAAGAACCTTTTAAAGCCAATTTACCTTGGCTTTACCAGGATGCTTGACCCGCACATTTTTAACGACAGGCTGGTGAGGTGGGTCTGCCTGAAAGGTGACATATGGCTGGCTCCCTCAGACGTACACAGAGGGAACTGCCAGGGGATCGAGACACTAGGGGGGAAGCTTTCCTCTGAGTCTCTATTACAGCCTCAGTTCTGATTTTATTTCAAATGATTTAATGTCTCACCATAACTGAGACTCTAATATTTAAAAATGCAAAGAAACAAATATATTTCTATACCCTCATGACCATCCACTCTACTAATTACTCACTGTTCATTACTCGCTAACTATACTTAATAATTTTTTTACTTTTAAAGAAAAACTAACAAGATAATAGAAAAAAATTTACATATCAGTAATTACTTACACATTTTTTTTTTAGTGCTGGGGATTGAAACTACGACCTTGCACAAGTTAAGCAAGTGTTCTACACCCTACTGCAAACCAAACCCTCTCTCTCTTTTTTTAAATTGTGAGACAAGGTCTCACAAAGTTACCAAGGCTGGCTGTGAGCCTGAGATCCTCATGCCTCAGCATCCCCAAAGCTGGAATTACAAGATTGTGCCACTAGGCTTGGTGTGTGTGTGTGTGTGTGTGTGTGTGTGTGTGTGTGTGTGTGTGTGTGTGTGTATGTGTGTGTGTAATGAAGGACTTTTTTAAAAGAAAATCCAATTTCAATAGCTTCTCTAACCCTCAATTTATTTTAAATTTCATAAACTTTATTATTCAAAAACTTGCAAATAGATTAAAACGCCACACACCCAGATTAGCCAGACCCCAAAGTTCGTACCATTTGATGTCCTTCTACCAGACACCATCTCGCCCTCACCGAGTCAGAATGGCTCTCATCAACAAATCTGATAACAAATGTTGGAGAAATGCGGAGAGAAAAGAATCCTAACTCAACTGTTCGTGGGGTGCAAATTAATACAGCCATTGTGGAAATCAGTTTGGAGGGTTCGCAAAAATTTTTAAATAGAACTACCATATGCCTCAGCTCTTTCATTCCTGGGCCCAAACCCAGAAACTCCAGACCCTACCATGGAGATATTCGAACCCCATGTTTATTGCTGCTTTATTCACTATAGCAAACAAAATGAACCAACCTAGTTGTCCATCAGCGGTTGAATGAGAAGGAAAATTTGGTTTGTATCATTACCATTTATTGTTATTTATTCAGACATCAAAATGATGGTAACAAATGTCAGAATTAAGAAAATCAGAACCATTTTAAAAGTTCTGTTCATCTCAGAATAATAAAGCTGAAATTTAAATATTCTCTGAACACTATGCTGTTGGTTTAACACTCAAAATTTTCTTAAAAACATAAAGCCCTCATTAAAAGATGATAGTTATATAAAATAATATGTCTCCATAAAGTGCTTATTTGATGAAGGTCTTTCTTAAATACCTAAAATGGCTAACCCAACTGATAGGAGGCAAATTACTACACTGGATTTCAATCGCACTTTTTTTCAGCTTGCTGATTTGAATAAGAAATAAAAGAAAACTGCTTTGAAAACTTGCACATATGTATATGTGAAGGTATACATCCATCAAAGATGTGGCGTATTTAAAGTTTCAAGTAGCCAAATAAGATTCAGTAATAACTGAATTCACTGCATATAGGACACATATACACACCTAAACTGACAGCATCACCACACTATTCACACATGCCAAAAACTTATTGCCAAATACACTAACAGTTTTAAATAGCACAGTCTTAAAACTGTATAGAAAGTCAATTTAATGATCTAATTTATTCATAATAATTATCACAATTAATAGGTACTGTGATACCCTCTAGTGGGGCAGGCAGGTCATACCTCTGGTAATAATTTTCAATCGCTTCTGGAGTGTGATGTTTGGCGTGTGTTCTTTTAATATGTTTCTGAAACAAAACGCAAGGGGAAAAAAAAACCCATCTTAATATTGTGTCACATATCAGGTTCAAGAACAGCAAAGACATATTTCTTCATCCCACTGGCAAGCGTACGGGGCAAACGGGCAATGGCTCGGGGTCTGGGGTGGTGGTGGTGGCAGGATTTCCTCTCCTGCTCCCACTTCTATGCATTTTAATCTCCTGCTTGACTGGGACGTCTTCAGACTGTGCCACAAGTACAGTATATATGTAAAAGCCACCAGGGTCATAGTAATTGAATCTAAATAAGTTTGCTTAGGGCTGCAGAGGGCAAAGGAAAACTTGTTCCCTCTTTCAACCTTTGTATTAATTCCCCCTCAATTCAATTCCATCTAAGTCCCCGGCACTCGGGTTCTACAATCCAATTGCCATATTTAACCGGGAAGAACATTGCTTAAAAACAACTTATTTGAAAACTACAAAAAGTAATTCCATAGAGACTTGCCACTTGACTGACACCTGTCATCTCATGATAAATGACTCCATTTTCTGCCTCTCTTGCCTTCTGCCACTCCAGCAGTGGTCATTTATCATCATCTCTGTCAGCAATGGGAAGCGGCACTGACAGTGCAAGTCAGCAAACATTTAGCACATGGAGCCACGCAACACGGGGAAATTATTATTGTCAGAATAATAATGGTTTAGCATAATTTATTACAGGTCCACCAAATAAGCAAAGGCTAGATGTTATTAGACAGATGGATGGGTAGGCTTGGCAGGCCTCCACTGAGACGCAGGCGGTGCCTGATGTGGAAAGGAGAACATCCTCCAACCCAATCAGAGAGCTGGCAGTTCAATTACAAAGAAATAAAGGGACATTCATCATTCAATTAGGCACCTGTCAACCCTCACAAAGAAGAAAACTTCTAACCTGGTACTCCTGGGAGAAGATGCTCAGCAGAGTGGCCTGCGATTGACTGGAACAAATAAAAGAAGGACAAAGTTAATTACTGGAGTGCACAGCAAAGAAATAAAAGAGAAAGGACCTTCAAAGGTAGGCCCGCTGCCCTGTAATCCAACAGAACACGAAAACAAGTGTGGAGAAGTTGTTCCAGATGAGAACCTCACACAAAGGCTTCCTGCTGCGAGGTCAAGGACAGAGGAAGAGCGGATGGGGAAAAGAACCGGTCCTGATGCAGGAAGCACAGCATTTGGATTCTATGCAACCTCGGGATGACTGCATCATATCTGTGGTATAAAACGTGGCTTTATACCACGGAGGACCACAAGAAAAAGGTTTCTTGCCACACACAAATGAGCTACTCTTGGGAACAGTAGGGAGCACCTTCTTCACTGCCTGACAGCATTCCCAGGTTTATCTTGTTGGCTGTCCCAGTTTCATGGGGGAAACACTGGTCTTGACTAGAGGTAACCCAGACGTCAATGGAACATTCTCACTTATTGGTGAGCTCTGAAAACAGAAGCAAGGGCAGCAGGAAGCAGTGGTCTGCAGAAGGCCTCACTCCCAAAGACTACAGTTAATCAGGATGTCACAGTACCAAACGCTGGGCAGTGAGGCAACCTGGGAAAAATCTTCTTCTGAAATAGGGAGTTTGCTTCTACAACTGTCCCCTTTAGAGACAGAACAGAATGCTTCTTTCTCTAAATGTCATCAGCATCCACTGTTGCCTTCTGACTGCCCTTGGTGGATATATCCACCATTGATAGTGACAATTTCTGATACAGTCTTCTAGTAAATGCAAACTGAAGACACTGCACTTTAAATCATTTGACTTTCACAGTATGCCAACACTCTGTGAATATTAATTTTTTTATTTATGAATGAAACCTCCCAAGTGTATCAGCAGTTCAGAGAGTTTGAAATAAAAATACTTCCACATTTGCCCGCTCACTGCCAGTGCCTGCAGCTTCTGGAAACCATCATGGGTTTGGCTTCTGACCCTCTCCACCAGGACCAAATGATATGAGGAGGTTTAAAACAAACAAACAAACCAACAAACCAACAAACCACAGCGGCAGCAAGATGGCTTGGTGACTAAAGGTACTAACAGCCTGAGTTCAATCCCTAGGACTCACGTGGGAAAGAGAGTCCTGCAACTTGTCCTCTGGTCTCCACGTGTGCCATGGTATGCATGTGCCCATACATGTATGCATACATATATATTCAACACAAACACATATAAAAGTGATTTTAGAACCAGCCGGTGGTGGTACACACCTTTAATCCCAGCACTTGGGAAGGCAGAGCCAGGTGGATCTCTGTGAGTTCGAGGCCAGCCTGGTCTACAGAGTGAGATCCAGGACAGGCACCAAAACTACACAGAAAAACCCTGTCTTGAAAAACCAAAATAATAATAATAATAATAATAATAATAATAATAATAATAATAATAATAATAATAATTTTAATAACATAATCTCAGCACTCTGGAAAATGAGGCAGGAGGACGGCTTCAAGTTTGAGGTCTACATAGCAAGTACCAGACCAACCTGGACTACAGAGTGAAATTCTATCTTGGGGGAGGGAGGGGGACCAGAAAGAGAAATAAAGTCAGAAAGAGAGAGACAGAGACAGATTGGGAACATCTCCGGAGTTGGGGGGTGGGGATCTATAGATGCTCACCAAAGAAAGTGGACTCTTAATTAAAGAACTGTTTCAGTATGTCAGAGTACTGAGAAATAACTGAGGACAATTATAAATTCATTAGTCATTGTTTTTCAAATTCCTTTTGAAGTTGGAAACGATCTTTTAAAAACCCAATTATATGTATGTATGTATGTATGTTTGGCTTGCCTGAACTTAACATGCAAATCACATATCTTGGTAGGGTTATTGATAAAAGCCTCTGAAAAGGATGCCAAAATGAAGGTCCAATTTGTATAAACTACTTTAAAAAGTAAGGTGCTTCATATCTATGCACAATTAAGAGACCTCTCCTCATAGTACAAAATAGATTGACATTATTAAGCATTTTGCAGTACATAGAAGGTACACGTCTAGGTTTCAAAAAGTATGACAGAAGCATTGGTTGGAAAGAAAAAAAATGCTAGACGTGGTGCACACCTAAAATCGCAGCACTTGGGAGGCAGAGGCAGGGGGATCTCTTGAGTTTGAGGCCAGCCTGGTCTACAGAGTTAATTCCAGGACAGCCAGGGCTACACAGAGAAACCCTGTCTGGGGGTCGAGGGGGGCGGGCAGCGGAAATAAACAGTTCCACGTGAGTCTGGTCAGAACTTGGGAGTACTGTAGGATGAGATCATGTATTTAGCTAAAGGAGGTCTTTAAATTGTTCAGTTCAGTTCAGCTAAAATCATGGACAGAGACTAATGGTACAGGCAAGTTTCTCTGTGAAAAGGAAGCTAGAAGAGTTCCATCCACAAACATTGTTGAAAGAAAAAAACTGATTAAAACCAAAACCAGAACACAACTCATGTTATACCAACAAGGAAGACTGGCTCCCAGAATGCTTTGGTTTTGTTCAACAAAGCAAAGCTGCAGAAAAATAAGTGACCTTTGCTGAATAACTTGCTGGCCAACCCTCTGCTCTAGTATGTGTTGACCAAGGCAAGGAAATGAAAAAGTGTCATGTGATTAAAAACCAGAAAAGGAGCCTTGGTGCAAGCAAAGCGCCGACCCCAGTGTCTTCTTCCTCACTCTCCTCAGGGTGCTGATGCTGAGAAGGCTGCTGGAGATCAAGTACCCTGTAGCAGGAATCTTAAAGAGTCTTATTAATAAAATCAAACCTGAGGCCAGTTATTGGGGTGAATGCTGGAAGATCAGAGAAGCAGAACAAGCCACAGCTTCCTCACCTTAACAGTTCCTCAGCTGATCCTGTTTCCTCAGACTGGAAGCTTCTGTGTCCTCATCCCAATGGCTCTCAGCTGAACTGCTGCTCTAAAGCCTGAAAGCTTAACCAGCCAAATGCTTCTAGTTTCTGGTCCTCATGCCTTATGTATCTTTCTGCTTTCTGCCATCACTCCCAGGGATTAAAGGTGTGAGTCACCATGCCTGGCTGTTTCCAATGTGGCCTTGAACTCAGAGATCCATGCCTCCAGAAGGCTAGGATTAAAGGTGTGAGTGCCACCATTTTCTAGCCTTTGTATCTAGTGGCTGTTCCATTCTCTGACCCCCAATAAGTTTATTAGGGCGCACAATATTTTGGGGAACACAATACCACCACAGTACCCACAAGGCAGGTGGGAAGGCCAGCGGAGTCATAGAACTCAAAGCTATAGCACCAAAGAGTGTAGCGAACTATCAGCCAGTCATTATGATAGCAGAAGGGGACGGGCAGGCAATGAGGAATTCCCTCTGTAGGCAGACCAGCATGAGAGACTAGTCTGTGGAGTACACCGCAAGAGGGCAGAGTGTGGGACAGGGACTGGAACATCTCCTGCAGCCAAGGGCGATGGGCTGTGGAGACTCCATCTGCAAGTATTTTCACAGTTGGAATGAGTTTCTCCACGTGCAGTTTCCGGCATGTAATTCACACCAGGGGAAGAGTCAAGTCCAGGCTGTCTCGTGTCCAGTTCTGGGAGGTTAACTCACTATGCTCCAACCTCACCTACCATACTAATATCCTTATTGCAAGGATGAAGAAATGCAGGAAGAAACATTAATTTAAAATACACAATTAAGCATCTAGATAAAATGGTGAATAAAAATCCACATCCAATTCTAGAACCTAAATTCTTAATTCCCGTGATACTTGTGCCTTCCTAACAGTTCCTAGAAAATAGCTCTGCCAGCCATGTAGGCTAACACTTCTGCCCAAGCATTTATGAGGTTGTATTATACCACAGACCACCTTGAAAGGTGGAACATGTTGCTTTTTTGATAGAAAATTGAAGCCACAGAGGTCAAATGTTTTGACCAAATTAAATAGCTTTAGATAATATTCCCATCTTTAAAAATCAAATTGCAGTTTTCCTTTAATTAGCTGCATCAAATACAATTTTCTTTTTGTATTGGGAGATAAAGGAACTATTGCTGGCAGGAAACAGTCCGAGTAAGAGGACTGTGAGGTACTGTCTGTTATCCTCTCCACAGCTAAGGTACACTGAAACTACCACTACTCCCTCGGCGTTTCTATCAGATTTCAGGTGTATTGTACTCAAATGTGATTTCCATCGCATACCTTGACATGTAGCAGGAATCTTAAAAGTTCTTATTAATAAAATCAAACCCGAGACGAGTTATTGG